AAAAAAAGCTAATGGTGTCTGTGTGGTGATCCAGTGCTGAGATTATCCACTACAGCTTCATGAAACCTGATCAGTCATTACAGTGGATGTCTACTGCAACCCATTGGATGAAAGATGAGGATGCTTGTGATTAAGCAGCTGAGATTGGTCGACAGAGACAGGCCAATCCTCTCGCAAGACAACATTCGGCCACATGTTGCACAAACAATGATGCTCAAACTACAGAAGCTGCACTCGGAAGCTCTCTGTCGTCCACTGTATTCAACAGACCTTGCACCAACTGACAACCACTCCCAGGCTTTGGACCACTTCTTGCAAAGAAAAATATTCCATTCTCAACAAGCTGTGGAAAATAGCTTTCGGGATTTCACTGCCACTCGCTCTCCAGGTTTTGTTGTGGGTGTAAGCCAGCTACCATTAAGATGGCAAAACTATGTTGATAGCTTAGGCTCATACTTTGATAAATTGTACTGCTTCTTGTTTGAGATATAATAAACTACATTTTTTATTCAAAATCTGACATTTCATATTCAGTGACCTAATAATTTAATAGTTCCCAAACCTTGTAGCTACAGAGTAAGTAACTGTCAAAAGTTAATTTTCAGGAAAAGGTAAAATCATAGACTTTCACAGAGACATGAAAATAAGTGTGTGTTAGAGTGACAAGGGAGCCCCATCTATTACTTGGCGCCTCAGGCACCGGAGACCCTGCCACTCAGGGAAGACCCGCCTCAGCGTAACACTAACCTGTTTCCTGGCCCATCAACTAGTTATTGCCCGGCATCAGCACAGCACTAAACCTATCGCCTGGCGCATCAACATGATGTTAACCTATTGTGCGACACATCAACTAACCTACATCTGGTACCCCACCCCTCAGACCACCCCAACTTAACAAAAGAGGGAAAAATTGGGTAGAGGGTGCTCAGAATTTGGTGGCGAGGCCCCTCTGAGCCCGCCAGTGGAATAAACTTTGATTCTCCGACTCTCCATGTGCCGCCGGACCACCTGCTGTGACACTTGCTGTAACAAAAGAATGTATTTAATCACATTATATGAGAGAACTAGGCAGATGTTACAACCTGTTCAAAGGAAATGTAAAAGCATCACAAATTTATATTGAATAAAAGCATATTGAGACAAATTTCAAGTGGGAGAAAACTGATATTCCTTAAGTGGAAGAAGTCAATTAAAATAATTATCAGAGAGGGAAAATTTTACATGTTTGTCAGTCACCTGCAATTTGCAAAGCTTTGTGAAATCACTCAAAGACTATGACTAGGGCTAAGATCTGATAACCCTCAAAGGTGTGCTTTATATAATGGATAGTTTTCCATTGAAAGACAACTTTTTTCCCATATAACTAATTTAAGATTACATAGCTAGCACTTAGAGGAAGCAGGATGAACCAAGATAGAGTTCCCTCTTTAGCTGAAATTATTCATCACTGTGATTTACAAAAGTACAAATGCATTCTTCAAGTGATATTAACATACTATCACATCTTTTTGGTTAGATTTTCCTGCTGTAGCAATTTTTTTAGAAAATTGATATAGTGTATCTTTTTACATAACAATATTCTTTATATAACTGTAATCAATGATGCAAATTATTTTGTAATTCTTGCTTCTTTCTAGGAAATATTTGTGCAAAATTACTTGCAAAAACAAAAACAATTGAAAAATAGATTACTTTCTAAGAATGTGCTTATTTAGTTTATGAATTAGCAGTTTTATCATTTTTTTTTTAAACAAGACAGACCTCTATAGGAATTATTTTGTAATAAAACTCTGTTACAAATCTGGGAAAAACAGGAATTGGAATCAAGGGATCTCTGTATGGTTCCACCTCTGGTGTTGACCTGCTGGGAAAAGGTGAGTGAAGCAGTCTCAGTACGTCTCAGTTTATTAATCTAAATAAATTAGTTAAATAATAAATTAGTCAAATAAATAGCCTCTCAAATTTCTTCTAGGTTTATCATTATGCAAGTGTTAAAAATAGGATTGTCATTCTATAAATTTATTGTTAAAGGATAATTTTTAAAAGTGGTAAAATGATGATTCTTGAATACTTGTAAATTAACATGTGTTCCAGATTTTATACAGCACACTCATGAGGGGATGAAACTGAGCAGGGACCCCAAGCATAGAAATAAAGAAACATCTCAAGTCCCTTCGGGGGAAGTTCTGGGCACATGGCTGAAAAGTGACAGGCAACCTGAGGACAGCACTGGCCCTTCCGGAGGGAGCCGGCCAGGGCGCCGCAGTCCCGAGGTGCTTTGGTTCCCCATGGAAACTGGAAGATGGCATCTTAACATGTACTTTTGAGTGGTTTTTCCAGGACCCCCCACCAGATGGAAATACAAATGAGGGGGAACTGAGGAACTAACTTCTGACCACCATTCTTTGTCGTGAATTCCCCCTGAAGGGCTTGCTGCAGTGTCTTCATACTCCTTTCCACTAATCCAAGACCCTCTAAATGCACCGATGCAACCCGCCCCCACCCTCAGGATATTTCCACTTTTGGGCCCAGACCAATGTATAGCCTCCACCTACTGATTTGCAATTTTGCCTGCCTGAAAGGTACCCCGTCTTCAGAGCTCCAACTTGTAAGCCATCGGGAGTTTGGGTTGCAAGCGTTAGCTGCTCGTTCTCCTTGCAGGGCACCCTGAAAATAAAGCCTCTTTCTGCCGCTGCAACTCTGCACTCCGGTGTCTGGCTTCACTGTGCTGAGCGCCTGGACTTCAATTTGATTCACTAACAGAATCTATAATACATAAAATCTAGTTCAAAGGAAAAACCTAAGAAGAAACTTCGTTATATATCTGAAATACTGAAATGAATTTGCCAAGTGGTTACAAAACTGGCTTTTCCAAGGGTGTGGATGGGAGAAGACAGTCAAGAAAACTGATCCAGACTGAATTTATTTGTATGTCAATAGATAAGCCTCATTTGCACTTCCTCCATTTCTCTATAATTAACAGAGTTGGAAAATTCCTCCAAGGCCATGGAAGGCACAGAGCCCCTCTACAGTCCGGGTCAAAATCAGCCAGTGGTAGAGTGTGCTCTAAGCAGTGAAGCACCAATGTTCCCCAACGCGATCATATAAACGAACTTTAAATATAACATATCCTTCTTGTTGTCTAAAATGAGAATGCTTATGACTCAGATTTTTGTGTGCTTTTAATTATGAGTGTGTGCTGACAAAGGGGCTTGGCTTTTGAACCTTTTCCTAGGCACCTCTATATATTTCCTTGTGAAATCCAGTTTTAGCAAAGAAGCTTGCTAAATCCGTTTAACAAGAATTCCCCATCCTTGATATCTAACCACTCTCGATATCTGATTGGGTTCCTCACCGTCCCCCAGGTGATAACTGGCCCCCCTGGCCTGTCTTTGGAAGGCATCCCTGTTGGTGCGCTTAGCCGGGCTCTCTCTTCCCCCACGTCCCCTCTTAGTAACTGTCCGCCACTGGCCCCACCCTGCTCCTCGCTCTACATGCCCACTGTCCACGCCGGACGCAGAGCCGAGTCCAGTCTCTCCTCACTGCAAGACCTACTCAGTGGTCCTGAGTAGAGTCTGTCTAACCATATTTTGAGAAGTATTATTGAAAAACATTTTAATAATATTCAGCTCTTTACTATCAAAAACGTCAATTTGTTTGACATTTGGACTTCACTCATTTTTAATTCCTCAATATCTGGCAAAACAGTGGCTTGTTGAAAAGAGAATGAGATTTTTGTTATAGGCCCACCAGACTGCATTGCCTGCTGTGCGGTGAGAGACCAATGCACTGACATGCTGAGAGCTGCAGCAGACGAAGAGTTTAATAATTGTGGAGCAGCCCATCAAGGAGGTGAGAGAGAACCTCAAATCCACCTCCCCAAGGGATTTTGGGCTGGAGTTTTTAAGGGAATTTTGGTGGGTATAGGGGACTGAGGAGCTTGGATTGCTGATTGGTTAGGGTGTGGACTTGTGCTGACTTGGTTTCCCAAAAGGACCTTCATATTGGCTGTTGTCAGTGGACTCTTTCGAATGGAGGATCTGGACAACATCTCCAAAGGAACCCTGAAGTTTCTGAACGTTGAAGACGTTATCTGCAGGGACGATGCCGGGGAGTTAGGGCCTGGGGCAGTGAGCCGCTGGAAGGGAGTGGGTGAGGGCAAGCTGCAAGTGACTATAAGGAAGTAGGTTAAAGGACAAGCTCACTAGTGCTTGACTGTGCGGCTATTCGGAGCTTATACTTTTGTTCAGAGCCTAACATTTAATTGTTTTGTTAGTTTCATGAAGATGGTTTTACTTGCATCAAGTCAGCCTGAGTTTAACAGTTTACTTCATGATTTGTGATCTATAACCTTGTGTAAGCGACTTGAACTTTGAGAGTGAGCTTCCTCATATATAATAAATATCAGAGTAATAGCCCTTCCCTCTAAGAGGTATTACGAGTTTACCTGCATGGTTAGCATGAAAAACTTTTAGTTATGTTGGTGGGGGGAGAGGTGCTGGAGAGGGGAGGAGGCGCCGCGACTTCATGGAGATCTGTGTTGTCAAGGAACACCAACTGAAGTGAAAGTAAACTTGGAATGCCTAAACAAGTGAAGAAAAACAAAGAAAAGAACAGAATCAAGGGTGAAAATGCATGATGTAAATACTAAGTGCCATGAGTAGACCAGCCCCGAGGGCGCCTGAGGACTTTGCTCAGACTGCGACTCAAGCACCAATGGCGGCTGCCCCGCGGGGGCGCCAGCTCGCTTGGCGCCAACGCTCAGTCCTGAGGGAGCTCACTGCACAGGCCCAAGGGTCAACTTGGCAGGCCCAAAAGAGACTGAAGACTGAATGCCGCCTCAGAAAGCATCTATATAGAGGGAAGTAATATTCAAAGGGAGTGAAAACACAACATTCCACTTGACGAGGCTAGAGGCTCGTGCCTGAGGCGCGCTTGGCCGCCCGCGCACGCGCGGCGAGCCTCTGACCTGGGAGAACCGCCCCCAGCGCGCCGGCCCGTCTTGGCACCCGCCTGTGTGTTCCTGGAGGGAGACGTCTCCTCTGCCAGTTTGGGGCCAACTGGTCTGGGGCCTGTCAGTAACTGACAGCAGGCAGACTCGCCGGGGAAAGAGCTTTATGCTGACACGCACACAGGGGCACTCGGCGACGAGCGACTGCCGCATCCCACAAGTACAGGTGTGCAGACCGACTGGAGGAGCGGCGCAGGGCGGTGGGGAGTTTGGGGCCTCGGTGGGGAAGAATGGAAGGTTCTGTTGGGCTCATTTAGGTTAAAGGCAGCTGAATTTGTACTTCCTAGTGCTAGGGTCAGCCATCTCCCAAACAGGAAACTCCCTTCCAGAAAAGGCAATGGCATCTGTACTTCCGGGAGGTTTTGCTTAAGTTTAGGTACCGTCTCTTTTCGTGGATGCTGATTATTTAGATGTTTTCAGTTTAAAGTAATTTAATGCCACTTTAGTGGGCAGTTAGTCCCTTCATTTCTCCAATTTGAAAGTTCTCAAGAAGTTTCAAAAACAAGGAATTGAGTTGGTCGTTACGAAGAGGAGATTTGGTTAGAAGTATGGAGGTAAGAGGTCTGCAAAGAGAAAGAAGGGCATACATTAGCACAAAGATGAGTAAGAGGAAAGATAAATCTAAACACATTGGCCCATATTCTGTTGAACTAGTCTCCCAGTCCTGGTAGCAGAAGGTGCTGCAAGTGATCAGGAATTTAAAGAAGGAAATTTATATGGAAATAAGAAGAAAAACAAAGATTAATGGTTGAAGTGGACATAAACCCAGTTTGTGAGTCCTGAAGGCAGCCAGTGAAGATTTTTAAACATTAAGTTTGAAGAATTTTTATTTTTAACATTTTTTAGAATTTATTTTTAAAGTCATTTATGTATTTATTTAGAGACAGGGCCTCACTCTGTCACCCAGGGTGGAGTGCAGTGACATGATTATAGTTCACTACAACCTACAACCCCTGAGCTCAAGCAATCCTCTTGCCTCAGCCTCCCAAATAGCTGGGATTGCACATACGTACCACCACACCCAGCTAATTTTAACATTTTTTTTGAAAATGGGCTGTTGCTTTGTTGCTCAGACTGGTTTCAAATACCTGGCCTCAGATGATCCTTCCACCTCAGCCTCCCAAGGTGCTGAGATTATAGGGCTGAGCCACTATGACCAGCCTGGAAGCATTTTTAGATGGTGGGGTGAACGTAGCAGTGAAAATCTGAAAGATTTTCGACTTTGCAGTTTCAGTGTCCTTGGTAATGACACAGACACCAATGTCACAACTGTAATTAATTCTTAGAGCAAAGCAAGGAAAATTCTGGTGTTCTGGGAACTTCCTGAGTGGCTCAAGCAGCTATGAGAAGGAATCCTTCCAAGTTTATATCAAGTTGTCTAGCTTCAGCTTACAGGGTTTGGGGGAAGGACAGCCACTTTAAAGCCCTGCGTTGCAATAAGAATCTGGACAGTTGGTTTTGGTTCTCAATGACACCAAGTCAGGAGGCAGGGAGGAACACTGGAAATGTGCATTTGGAGGGTTGTAGTCAGGTTGAAGGAAACTAGAATTTAAAATTTGATAAAGACTGACAAAATGTGTAAGATGGCAGGACTCAGTCCAAGACAAAAGCTCAAAGCCCATGAACAGGACTGGAATCTGATAAGCCACAAAGGTGGGCTATGGAATTCCACTGAAAGGTAATTTTGCTAAGACAATCAGGCATGAAGAATTTCCTCTCATGTGGTGGAGTGTCAACCTTTTTGTTCTATTTAGGCCTTCAACTGATTGGACGAGGCCCACACACACTAGGGAGGCCAATCTGCCTTACTTAATTTATTGATTTAAGTGTTAAATCTAAAAACACTCTCACAGAAACACCAGGAATAATGTTTGACCAAATATCTGAGTGTTCCATGGAACAACCAAACTGGTAGGTAAAGTTAACCATCACAAGTTCACCCCTAGTCAATTTGGCACTGATATGTATCTCCTTAAACCATATTTAGTCTCCACATGAAAACAATAACAAGGTCATAATTCCACCAAATATGACACAACTGGTACTGCGTACAACTAAAATTGCACTTGAATCTTTCCCCAGAAGATGAGGGGAAGTCCTTGAGAGATGTCTGCTCTTCTCCTCAATATCTCAAAATGTAAGTGCAATGGTCTAAAATTAACAATGCTTAAATACTATGATATAAAGTCAATATATCATATGTCACAAGATAAGGGAATAAGACATAGAAGAAAATAAAAATATTTGTTTGATATAAGCTATGTACTAAATTTTGCACCTCCTCCAATTCATAGGTTTAAGCCTTAACTCCTTATGTGACCTTATTTGGAGACAGGGCCTAACCCCTAGGGGTGGGGGACCTTTTCATGTTGGAAGGCTGCATTAGTGTAGCTATTACAAATAAGACCACATTCAAGAAACTTCAATTAGATATACTTAAAAATGTAGATTATTTCTGTAAAAATCTATCTACTATGTACTTAATAATTTCAAAAAAATGAAAACTATTTGTTAACTTTAAAGTTAACTAACCTTTTAATGACATTGTTGTGTCTGCCTGTTGTTGGAAACCATTTGAATATTTGGCTGCAGCATGGAGGTTGGCAGTCAGTCAGTCCTCTAGATGGCGTCAGTCATGTGTGACCTGAAAGGTGTCTTGATTTGGGTCAGATAGGAGAATGTAGATTTGCAGCAATAAGTGGTTGAAAAGCAAGAAAGCATCTTTCAGGCCTGTTGCTGAAGGTGTGGGTATTCCACTGCCTTTTTCCATATTTCAACTGGATCTTTCATAGCATCAAACAATGACTTTAAAATGTCATCTACTGAGAATGCAATCAATTCCATCTGCAGTTCTTTAGGTGCCTTGGTGGTACCAACTAGGTGAGGCTGAAATGCTGATTTGAGTGTGATGTCATGACTCTAAAGTCAGTGAACCTTTCACTGTGTCCTCCAATTAATAGGTCAGCAACAGCTGCATATTCTTCAGATGATTTGCCTATATCATCCTGCTCATCATGACCTATGCTAACTGGGAAAATGTGCATCCAAAATTCCTTTTCAAAAACGTGTTTTTAAAAAAGATAGCTTAGGCCTGGTACAGTGTCTCTCACTGTAATCCTAGCACTCTGGGAGGCCAAGGCAGGAGGATCACTTGAGCTCAGAAGTTCCAGACCAGCCTGGTCAAGAGCAAGACATGGTCTCTATTAAAAATAGAAAAATTATCTGGGCTTGGTGGCATGTGCCTGGACTCCCAGCTACTCAGGAGACTGTGGCAGGAGGATCACTTGAGCCCAGGAGTTTGAGGTTGCAGTGAGCTATGATGATGTCACTGCACTCAACATGGGGCATCAGAGCAAGACTCTGTCTTCAAAAAATAAAAAAGGATAAAAGATAGCTTTTTAAAAAAATGCTTGTATTTTTTTGCCATATATAATATATAAACTTAGGTTTACCTTGCAAAATAACATTCAATGCATTTTGATTTAACATGATGTCACACAGAAATGGTGCATTCCTATGGAAATCTTTCAATAATTCATATTGCTGATTCTGTTCTTCATAAAATTTAGCTGTCTGTTCTCACAGAGATAAAATTTTGCCTAACACCTACCTGTGCCTGTGCACTTTAGAATGATACAGCAAATCCACACTGAATACCTCATCTTTCAACTTGAGCACATTAAGAAATTGACAATGTTGTGTTCTATTTACATCACTATAGTTAACAATACTTATAACTTGTTGCAAAGTGTCACTTAAAATAGTAACTTTAGCACAGAGATTTTGCTGATGCAAGAATCAATGAAAAGAAAGGAGAGCATATGGATCTGTTAATACATTTTTTTATCTGTGCAATAAACCCTTCATGTTTTCCTGTCATGGAAGGTGCACCATCTGCACATACACTCATTAAATTTACCAAATTCAGTCTAACTTCATGATATTTACCTTAAAAGTTATTGAAGATATCTGTTCCCTGTGTTTGTTCACAAGAGTACCCAAAGCGAGGAAATCTTCATAGAAAATAAAATCTTCTGTTATGACCTGAATGAAGTAGAAAACCTGTGCCAAGTCAGTAGTATCAGCTGATTCATCCAAAGCAACTGAATAATACATATTTTCTTTTTTGACGTATTGCATGAAGTCGCTCTGCTAAGATGAAAAGCAAAAGCAAAGGTAATTCTTTTAAGCAGCAGTAAGATCTGGAAGTAATTCCACTGAAGCAACTTGTAATGTAGCTTATATACTTGGGAAAAGCGGGAAGCCATTCAGTGATACAGAAATTGTGAAAGAATGCATTGTTGAAATTGCAGGATGCTTAGACCCCCATAATATTTCCAGGTATTACTCTGCCTAAAAGAATTATCTTTGCTCTTGCTTTTCATCTTTCAATTTCTGCAATACAACCTTTCATGCCTCTCCCTCTAATTTAAAATTATTTGGGGCCCTTATGAGTGTTATAATGCTGAAGAGCATTGAATTTCTTTAATGTTGACATTGTGATATCACAAAGGAAGCAAATCATCTTATCTTTAGCAGAAACAAGATAATATTGTGATGCCCAATCTTCATTAAGAAATCTGTTTTCTTTCTTCAGTGTTCTCTTGGTCTTCTTGGACATGATGGGCTGCTAAGCAGACAGAAATAAAAAAATACTGTTGAGCTGTGCAACTATTCACATATTCCATCTCAAACAAAAACACAGTGCACCATTGTCAAAAGCTGACAATGGACTGGTGTACTCAACCCCCATAAACTCTCTCCAACCAGCCTCCTGTGGCCGTGGCACCAGTCAGGAAGGGAAATTTAGAACTAATTCATTGAGTGTAGCAATTGTCAATTTAGCCCTTATGGTTTCCCAATGCTCTAATTGTGCCAGTCAAAGAATTATTTAATTAAAACTTATTTTATTTTTTGGAATTTTAAATATGTTCATTTAAAACATAAAATAAAAATATAAGAGATGAACAAAAATGTGTCAATAAAAATAATTTGTTGCGTAAAATTTGGATTCAGTCTAAAGGCCATACTTAAGGACCTGCAAGGTCACATGTGGTTTTAAGGCCACAGTTTCCCCACTCCTGGCCTACAAGGAGATAAATAAGATCAAAGGAGGTCAGAAGGGTGAGGCCCTGATACAGTAAGATCATTGTCCTCATGTAGCAGCAGTCCGTTGTTCAGTGCCCATTTTGACATTTTCCTTCCTGTTTCTTAATAAAGAAACACTGACCTCTACTCGCCTCCCCTCTACCAGGCGCTGCCTGCAAAGCTCCCCTGTCTAACTATGTGCTTGTTTAGATGTTCCAGAGACAGAGTCTTGAAACAATCCAGACCCCCACGGGGGATGACCACAAGGCTGCAGATAATCTATAGGTAACAGCCGATGAGATAACACCAGCCCGTTCACCAGGTGGAGCAGTAATTTAAGATAGTCATCATGCTGACCAACACCTCCCGTCACTCCTGCATGCCCTTCATACAACATTCCCTTTTTAAACCTCTACCCTCAGTGCAAGACTTTGAAGTGGTTTCCTTGAGGCATGAGCCTTGGCCATTTCCCCTCTGCTAGCTCTGGAATAAAGTCACTTTCGTTTCACTGCACCTTGCCCTCTTTATTAGCCCTTGCAAGTGGGAAGCAGCTGAGCCTGCACTTGATTACACTTAGAGAGACATCAAGAGACATGAGAACATTCATACACCCCCCCTCTCTCCCTTCCTGTCTCTCTCTCTCTCTCTGTCATATGAGGACACATCAAAAATCTTCTCAGCCACCTGCAAGCTGAGAAGAGAGCCTTCACTGGAACCAGATCCTGGCACTCTGATCTCAGGCTTCCAGTCTGGGCTGACTAATGCATATTTTAATAGCAATAAGTTGCATCGTGCTGTTCCAAACACCTAAACATGTTGACATGAGTTTGGAATTAGGTAATGTGTACACACACACACACACACACACACACACACACACACACACACACACAAACACACATTGCAGAAAAGGAGAACACTTGCTCTGAAGAGAACACTAAGGGTGTGGCTAAACAACAAATTGGAAAAGAGACATGGGTGCAACTCATGGAATTCATCAGCCATCTCTGCAGAGGCTGGGGATACAGATGGGTATGTGCCAGAAAAACATTACAGTTTGGACTAAAGGAGACTAAAAAAGTGGGGTGGAAAGAAGAAAAACTCAGATATCTTGGACTCTACAGGACTGAATATAAAGTTATTAGGCTGTGAACAAGAACTATTCTGCAATGAACTGGAGGAATGATCCCAAAGGCGATTCAGAGAGTATCAGGCTGCTACTCCCTTTACAGGCTGTTTCCTTCTCAGTTTTAAAGGGTGGGGCATCTATCCTGTCTCAGCAGATCAAGAAAACCCCACCCAGTGCCACAGCTGCAGAGCCATCTGCAGAAAGCACCTGGGTGGCCTTACGGAGCACTGCAGGGGAGGGTCCCCACAGGGCAGAGGGGGCAATGCTGCCACCCAGTGGGCCTGCAAGGTGGCACATGGAGACAACGAGGATTGTTCTTTAGCCTTAAGATCTAATGTCATTTGCTCAGCTGGACCTGTCACCCTTTTCTTCTCTATTTCTCCCTTTTGGAATGAGATAGACTAACCTATGCCTATCTACCATTGTAGTTTGGAAACACATAATTTCTCCGATTTCACAGTTTCACAACTAGAGAGGAATTTTGCCTTATGATACTTGTACCCCAAGTCTCACCCATATCTAATTTAGGAGATATTTATATGAGACTTTGAACTTTAGAGTTGATGCTGGAATTAATTAAGACTTTGGTAGCTGTTGGGAAGAAATGAGTGTATTTTGCATGCAAAAAGTACATAAATTTAGGGGCATGGTTGGAATGCTATTAATTGAATTGTGTTCCCCCCTTCATTCATGTTTTGAAACCCTAACCAATAGGATGGCCGTGTCTCTAAATCTGTACCTATCTATATCTATATCTTTATCTACCTATATCTTAATTTCCAAATAAGTAACACATATGTTATATTGACTTACATAATTATGGAGCCTGAAAAGTCCCAAGAACAGCAGTTGGCATGCTGAAGACCCAAGATTATTAGTCATGGAATTTCGGTCTAAGGCCAAAGGCAGGAGTAAAGCCAATATCCTAGCTCTAAAGCAGCCAGGCTACAGGAAAACCTTCATTTTTGGGGTATAATCAGCCTTTTTTCTTATATACATGCCTTCAACTAATTGGATAAGGCCCACCCACATCAGACAGGTCAATCTGCTTTACTTAGTTGATTGATTTAAATATTAAACTCATCCAAAACATCCAGAATAATGTTTGAGCAAATATCTGAGCAGCTTATGGTTTAGTCAAATTGACAGAAAATTCCTCTCATACCTCTCTTCTGGACTTAAGCCGTGAACTACAAGAACCTTCCCACTATACTCCCTCTGCCCCCCCTTGCCCTGAACTATCAGAAGTCCCTTTTCATTAGTCAACTTCTCTAAAAACCCTCTTATCATCTTAACAAGTTATTCTATTATCTCACAAGTTGATCTTGTGCATTATAATTTTAATGATTTTTATCAGTGGAGTGTTTTGTTGTTTATTTTTAAATCCTGAAATTCAACTAATAATGTATAAAGTAATTAAGCACATTTTATAGACTTTTTAGAAATTCATCATCTATGTTTATCTTATTCATTATGTTTCAAATATATTATCCAAGTTCCTATAATTCATAAATTCAGTCAGAAGTTATCATTTTTTTAAATTCTTATAGTTTCTAGTGTCTGGTTCATAATTCAATTATATTTCATTCGATGTCAAATGCACATCTATTTTCCTACAATTCAAATTAACTCATATAAAAATTATATACTAATTATTTGCATTTAGTATGTCATCTAATACTGTGTCATCTACATGGATTTTGAATAATAATTTGTTGATAAAATGGTAGGAAAATTTATTTCCCCACAAAAATAGATATGGTTAGATTTCTATCTCAGAAGGCTATACACTAGGTGTCATTAATTGTATTACATAGATTACAATGGCTGTATGAAAGGAGAATTGGTTTGATACTTTTCCAAAATGGCTGTTGAAAATGTCTGAGCTGTCAAATTCCCCAAATACATCAACTGGTCATTTGCTGCAGCCTTGGCCACTGTCCCCTTGTAACTGTCAAAAATTCAGCAAGTCTAATTAAAAATTCTCAAGTCTAATTGAAAAAAAATATTACTTAAATGATAAATATTTATATATACCAAGGGACAGATTTATATTTTTAAAACCTTCTTGTCTTTAAAATACATGTAAAAAAATATATTGTATGTAAAAATACTGTGGACTCCTAGCAAGAAAAATTCCATGGAAATTTTCAAGTTTACTAATTATTATTATTTAGCAATATTTTTCTTTACTTTTCTTTTTTAACTTAATTACTAAAAATTGATAATTTATGTATTAAAATTAATTTATGTATTTTATATATTTATGTATTATATGGAAATATATTTTATATAATATAATTTATATATTACTTTATGTATTCAAATTAATATATTATCTTATAAGTTAGAACATTAATGATGAATTTAGATGCTCATTTGACCTATAATGAGAGAAAGATAATGATTTTCCTGATGATTTTGGTGTATCTTTATAGAGTAATCTTTTCATTTATTTAGAGAGACAGAGTACTCATAGCATTTTGTTGGTATGTCTTTTTCAATGCATTTTTTTTAAACTTCCTTTAATCTTAGGTAAATATTTTAAGGCTATATTTATAATTTAACACATTATGATTACATGTTTAGATTTACTAAAGAATTATTTCTGAAATTTTATGTTTTCAATTTACTATGCTTTATTTTTATTAAAAAACATCTCTTTTAACTTTTCTTGTCTTTTGTCAAATTGGTCTAATGTTGACTTTAATTATTTCAGTCTCATTAATCTGAAAGTCATATATCATGCTTATATTTTTCTGGTGATTACCTTTTCATGTTCACATTCATATTATAACTTGAGTTTTTCTAATAATATATAGACTTAGTACTTTATACTTCCCTTGCTAGAATTGACCAGAATCTGCAAGTTTATTTTCATATGCTGTAAACACCTTGACACCCAACGTTATTATGTTATTAGAAGTAGGCTGTTATTCGTTGTTAAATTGATACCTATTCAAGCTTAACAAAAGCAGGCTATTGTGAAGGAATAAAATTCACAGAGAAAAGTCTCAGAAAAAGGAAAGGAGACCTTGGGGTTTGCAGTGGTGGGTAGAGCGGGTAGTTGGTTGTGAGGAAAGATGGAGACAGGCTTACCTGGGAATATATATGGGCAACATTTGTTGTTGTTGTTGTCAGCCATTTCCTGAAACACACACTTTTGGGGGAGAGGGGGATGTTTCTTAACCATTGCTGTCTTTCAGGAGCACAAAGATGAGGTACCCTTTAACATTGTCACATGTGATTATAACTCTAAGGTTAAATTTTTTGTTTTGTTTTTTATTTTGCTTCTAATGATATTTGGAAGTTTCTTTTTGTATTCAGTGTTCCTTCTATTTTATATGTAATCATTTTTATATGGTTAAAAATCATTATGGTTCGTACAACTCTATAATGCAAAGATAAATAATTAAAAATAGATAAAGGATTTGAATAGATATTTCTGCAAAGAAGATATACATAGAGCCAATAAACCCATAAACAC